CATACTTTCATTCTTTAGTAGCGGGTATAAAAATATAATTGAAGTAATCGTCTTACATGTATAATTTTGCGTGCAATTAATATGATTTCAATAATGTTCAATCTGTTATCAGCAAGCGAAACGGAACGAAGGATGACCTACATTTACTGCATTAATGAATAACTCATTACATATATAATTTTTAAAGTTCTGTCAATAACAAGAGAACTTTTTTCGTTTTGAGACGAATTTTATGTACGCCCCCTCTGCCCCTTTCCGACCCTTTCACATTCTAATAACAAATCAGGTTAATATTGAAAATATTAAATTTATTTCTGAAGTTTATTTCCCTAGTTCTTAAGTATACTAATAAAGAACGATCGGGAAGAAAAGACAAAGAAAGTAAGCTCATAGCTAAGAAAGTCCATACAAGCTTAGCAATGAATTTTCAAAGGTCTCGTTTGAATTGAGTTTAACAAAATTAATGTAGCTTTCCACAAAATGAAAGAAATGCAGCTGGATGGAGAAAAATCTAACTAATCGGGTGGACGCATCAAACCTTTCTTACAAGACTTTTTCAACTTTCATTGAGCGGGTAATACCCGTGTGGTTCTGACGTTGCCGCAATAAAGTCGATGCCTTTTTTATTACATTGGTCACTTCTGAACGCTTCCATTGTTGACACTAGCGATTAGAGATGCTCATAATTCAGCACTTCTTTTTAAAGCCTTGAAACACGAACCATTCCTCGGCGTCAATTCACGCTTTGCCGTTATTTGTGCGGATTCAACAATGTTGAATCAAGATCATTCCCGTATACAATCCACTTTTCCTCTCGTTTTGGAATGTTTTATACTCATTACCTCAAGCAAATTTAACAAAAATGCAAAAGAAATTGTAAATTTGGAACGTGTCGCCGAACTAATCCATATCACTTTTGCATTTGGATTGACTAAGCGTTATGAAGGTAAAGTTCCTAGAGAATCAATTAGGGACATTAAGGTTTATTTCACCAAGTAATGTGGGCGAATCGACAATACCATTTAGTAACCTAGTTAAGAAGATAACACCAAGAATGAGTTTACGTTTCTCAAGCAGTGGTAAGAATAACAGAAGCAACCTATTTTCATAAGGAGGCAAAGAGATGATGGAGTCCCAGGCCAAATTCCTAGCGGCAAGCAGCAAGCATTGCTTTTGAACGGATTCAAATGAATCCACATAACACCAGGCAGGCATGCTCAAGTATTGGTATAACCAAGCACATGTATAGCCTTTTTGTAATTTAAGAATCCTTGAACTCTTTGGACCGCATTTTAAAGAAACCTAACGGCGGCCCAGCTACACTTTAAGAAAGCTCAACGTTCAAATTGAAACGTTATCTTTTGTCAAATAGAATCCTTAAATCGATGAACAAATTTACGTTTTCCAACTTATGTGACTCGATAAAATATTCAATATTAAATGACCTCCCCCTTGAGAAAGAAAGCTTCTTGCATTTTTTTAGGTTATTTCATACAATTCAACGAGCACCATATAACCAAATTTTTTATGTCAATTTGAAATCATTAAGTAATTAAAGATTTCCTTTCTCTTAAGATTTCTTTCTTTTCTAGACTTTATTTGCACGCACATAAAAATAAATGCTTTCCGGGCTGTTATATATCACCTAAAAAGCCCGACAAGTATTTCCGGTAAACCAAATAACATAAACCACACGCATGTGCATACAAAATAAATATACGTCTCTATGAATAGACCTGAGAAAAGCAACCGAGGCGACTTCGCGCTCCCATCGAAATAACAAACTATGAGTTAACCGCAAAAGCAATTTTATTTGTTGCATATATGATATAACGATGTTTCCGATTAACACTGTGTCTAGCCGAACATCTTAAAAAAAACATCCATTGTTAAACACACTTCATATGAACTCTTACATTTTCCCTCCATGCATATGTCCACCTATTCTTTTTAATAAACAAGTGTAAGCTTCTGTGTGAAAATATTTATACATATACGTATATGTATATATATAAGCATATAAAATATAGGTGGCATACATATGCGTTTTTATAATGGCGATGAGTCAGACGGTCTCTAAATTCATTGTATATTAAATATTGTAATTCAATAAAAAGTCAGACACTGTTGGTATGTTAAGCATAAAAGGTTGAGTTCACAATATAAGGTACTAAATCAAGTCAATAAATGAAGCTTTTACTATTTTAATTATTTAATGGAAACTGTTGTTCTAATAATGATTAATTTACTTACTTATTTATTTTTTTTGTACTAACAATTCTAATTTTTTTGTACCATTTCTTCAACAATTATGTGTGAACAGGTTAAACGAAAGGGAACCGGAATGAAGGCGAATAACAGTTTCCTTTACTTTTTATTTTTGCGAGTTACGCTAGCGCTGTCATCGAATCGATTAATTTTAATTTCGTTAGATATCAATCGCCTCCTTAAAAGAAATTGTTTGCATATGATATCGCTTCAACATCGTCCTTCACGTTATGCAGCAAGAGCAGATATGCGTGGAATATTCTTTACCGTTATCATCGAAGCCAAAAGAAAGAAAAATATTTAAATAATTTCTTCACATATAATGGTCAAATTAACTTATCGAAAAATATGCCCCCCTGTTGCACTCAAGCATTCCATTTTGGAGGTATAGTTCAAAATAAAAATGAAAGCTGGCAAAACTATCGAAACATACGAAAAATATATGAATTCAGAAGGGAGTGTGGAAGAAATTTAGGAAATTGTTTACAATTCAAAAGCAGGAGCAAACATATCTCGTGATTTTTTTCGCGATTTCTTTTATCGGCTTAAATATTAGTTTGAAAATTCAAGTATCGGAGGAAAGTATATACATGAAGAATGATGTACGAACACAGACAATATTTAGCAGAGTTATCTAAATTACATTGAGTCTTCTAAGTCAAGAACTAGAAATGTATATCAAAAACCTAGTACGGATTATATAGAAGATATACAGATAGATTTAACGTTTGGTCCAAGTGCTCAGCCACCTCCCCTTTCGAGAGAAGGGAATACCAAGCGCAATTTCACGGCGCAACAGATTTTTTATTATACATATTTTACTATTAATCTGCAATCCCAAGACCATAAAATTGTCTTTCTAAATAACCTTAATTATTTTTTTCTCGAAGATTGACAAGAAAGCAGTAAGCAATAAACCAACGGAAAAGTAGAGAAGTAATTGCAATGGTAATTGGTCCAATTGCAAATGATTTTCGCCCTATTTTTGCTTTTCGATTTTTTATAAGATACTTTACCATACTATAAAAAAATCTCGATGGACCTTTACGCTTTTACAAATACTGCAAATACCTTCTCGAGTACAAGTTTAAGGACTATTGTTTCCATGAACCGGCAATTTTTAACTATCGAAACAAACGCAACGTAACCCACTCCAGCTTTTACAATGTGTTCATATGACTTTTTTTCCCAATAAAAACGGAAACAGATTAGTATTTATGAAATATATGTTGCATTCTCAACAAAATAATAAAGTTGGAATGAGCTCCAATGATATAAATATTTCTCGCATCCTTCGGGTCATGCTAATCACTCATTGCCATAGCTTTCAGTTCGTAAGCATTTTCCTAATAGGTGGTAAGGCAGCGTTTCGAGCGGACGCCAAGATTTGTAGTCTAACAGAGAAAAGAATTGTACTAATGTTCGGGCCTTTTAACGAAAGCCTCACTTGCCTTCGCTTGCAAAAATATCGTCATTTTTTAGATTAAATTGCAGTTGCACAGGGAATAATGTTAAAATGTAAAAAATGACGACAACATAGCGTCTGTTTCTGTATATCTATATCGATTTCGTCTTTTTCAAGAAGTTGCGTCAATTTCAAGCACTAAGTATATTTAGGGAAAAATAATTGGGGAGAAAGCAAACTGTGAGAATCAAAATTAAGAAGGCTGTAGACATAATAGAAAACTCCAAGGAAATAAAACGCACCATTGCAACTCCCCCCTTCCAACAAACCTATACATACGTGTGATGCTGCTAACTCCGTAACAAAGTGCTAGCTAATTTAATTTAATTTGGATTGCATTATTAATAGGTTACAATAGACGACAGGAAGTTTATTGTGTTTACTTTTATTGACCAAAATTTAAGGTTCGTCCCAGGGCAACAGTTATTTTCTTATGTATTTTTTCCGTTTTGATTTTCATTTTTGCTTTTATTTGCAATTGAAAAGTTATGCTTGAAAAAATATACAAACATATGATGATGATATCACTGCTTTGCACATCTAAACTCTTCATATATAGCAGCGTTTTCTGTTATTTTTTTATCAAAGCGATCACAGACGAATCTTGAATACCTATCACTATTGCAAGCAACAAGAGAAATTTTTCGAAAAAACTTGTCGACTTCTTTGCCTTAAGATATCGTTCCAGTACCTTATTCTAATTGAAAGCGTTGTACGATTTTCCAAATTCCATTCCACGTTACCGTCTTCTTAGGTGCTTACCCTCTCGAATAATGCACAGCAACCACAATCAGCCACCACAACACTATTTTAAAGAATATGCGGACTTGAATAATTAATTTAGCCTTTAACCCGTTTATTAGAATCGACTAAACCAAGGCTTTAACTAAATCCAACAAGCAAGACGCGCAAAATACAATATAACCTCAAGATTTCTCGATCAGCTAGTTTATATAAATATTTTGGGTGAAATGTACACAAATCTCACAGAAGCTTTCGCCTAGACGATATATATTCTGTGCAAACTTCTCGATTTACTTTAGTGCATGAATCACTGTACCCAATTTGCAGAAATATTAGCTTGTCGCCGTTTTTCTAGTGATCTCGGTTTGCCATACCAAACTCGACCATACCCCAGCGCATGAAGCGGGGGACAATTTTGGTTTCAAAAGGTGCGTAGAGAAAAGCATTTTTCTTTTTTTAATTTCTTCAACACATTAACTCCCTTATATAAATTTTATTTACCTTTAGTAAAAAATTTGCTTACCTTGCCGTACTTTCCAATACCTCAGAGTAGTTCGGAGGCGAAGGCATATATATTTATATACACACAAAAAACATTAAATAATTGAAGTATTTATTTTTTGAGAAATTAAATTAAAAGTGAGAAAGAGATGTATTTTTGAGAATAGAAAGAAGGAAGAGATTGCTTTTCTAAATTAATTTTAAGTAGTAGGTGGATATGTTGAGAGGTTTTCGTATGTAAGCGCGAATGTTTTATCAGTTAAAAGATTTCCCTCTGGCAAATTTCGTGGACACAATATTTTTAATATTTTTAATATTGTAAGGACACAATGACAAATTCCATTAACATCTGCAAAAAACGCGTACATGCTATAAATACCCATTCATTATTGTTGATATTAAGTTTCTTAATTTGTTGTGGTTAGTCCCCGCTGTTCGTTTAAAAATTTTTTTTTTATTTAGTTATATTATGTATTTTATTTTATGTATTTATATTTTTTTCACAAATTCGTTGTATTTGTTGTCATAACATTTTTCTTCTAAGCCCGGCAAAGGCCTATTGTTTTGTTATTATTTTGTTTGCTTTATAGGTTGCCTAGGGTGGTGGTCGATCCCACCAGAATAGAAAACGAAAGCATTAATAAATGAAAATTCTTTTCCTTCTACATGTGTGAAATATTATCGAATTTTCCAAATTTTTTCGTTTAAGTATTTCGATTTTCTCTAATTTATTTTACAGTTTAATTCTAGTTGCATATTTTTGTATTGCAAATTTTTTGCACACAGTGCAGAATTCAATTATTTTTTAGTATTTCACACTGCTCACACTGCACTCCAATATTTTCCAATTTACTAAAAAGTTGAGTTTTCCTTTTTTTTCTGCCGAAATCAGCGCACTCTTACATCCAATCGCAACGATAATATTTTGCTCATGAAAATTTTTATTCTTATGAAAATTTTCGTAGAAAGTTTTTCTCTATGAAAATTGAAAAAGAACTGTTTAATTTTTTGAGAGTAATGTTTCTTATGGAAATATTTATTGTTTCTTATGGAAACATTTTTGAGAGTAAAATTTGCTTTGGTATGTCACTTATACATAACAGGGATGCCAATGTTCTGAGATGTTATATTTTTCATATAAACTCGATAAGAATGCTTTCTCTTTAATCCAGGCGACCGCAATACCTGTTATATCCACAAATGCCATCCACAATACCTGTTATATCCACAAATGTCGTCCACAATATGTTTTATATCCACAAATGCCATCCATAATATGCTACGTATGCTTGCAAATTAACTTGTTTACTTTGCTGATTCGTTAGGTCTATATTCGCTTACACTTTGTTGCTGTAAAAGTAGTACCGTGTGTGTTTCGCACATTTTTATTTGTTTACATTTGTCTACATTATTTACATTGTTTACAAATAAACATAGATTTTGCCAATATTTACGCCAAGAGTTCATAAAAAGAAATGTTTGCTCTGAGACAATCTGCAAGAAAAAAACAAGTTTACCAAACTTGTTAAAAAAATTGGACAACTTTCTAGTGTAGGAAAAATTTCAATAAACAACGGCCGTGTTTTGGACGCACGTGTTTTGCCGAATTCGAATAATGATAGAAATATTGAGAAAAGCTAAAAACGGGGGCAACTTTAGCATCCGTCCGGCGTATTCATGGTACTCAACCTACAACATCACATCTTCCAAGTTTCATCATTTGGCTGTTTATAAGTTATACTCCTTTTTGGGTCTGTATAGTTGCACAACCGTTTATATCCTCGCTCCCCACAGCCAGAACTTATGCTTTGTACAGAGGTGGATATTCAATTTTCATTCAACACAGGAACTGTGCTTTGCCTATAATAAAACTTGACAATAATTTGTCCTAACATTAAAAACTTCTTTATTTCTATTAAAAAGTAAAAATAATTACAGCCGACGCATCAACGGCAATTTTGATTGCTGCTAATGCACCACTTAATAATGCGTTTATAATTTATATGCTCCGCTTTTGCCGAAAAAGTGATTCTAACTAGAGCTTCCTAAAAAGGTTTATTATTGTTTGAATCTTTATCAAATTTCTTCAAAGTTTAAGAAATTTTGTCATTTCTCCAAATTTCTCCATATTTGATAATGTTACCAATTCTCGTGTGACGTTGGACAAACTTGGTATAAATTTTGTTGGAGAAAACTTTACCTTCACACATTTGAATAGATAGCATTAACCATGTTAAACCTTGCATCGATCCGATTTAACAGTGTCTCAAGTATTGCGTTTTGGTTACACTGACACAATTTGAGCTAGTCAAAAGCATGCTCAATGATCTCACTCATCATTTAAAATGCAAAAAACATGCTGCGGATTGTGTTAAATCCAAAGTTTATTCCTTCTCTCAAAGTACCTATGCCCAACCAAGCAAAAAATTTCACCCTTTCATTTGAAGAATTTTCGAGCTTGCCTCCCCCCAATTAAGCAACCTAATCGTGACACTCCTGTCGCGGCACCAAACAAAAAGACATTAAATTCTGGGTCTATTATCTCCATTCCCAGCAAAAAGCTATTAAATCCTGAGCCTATGGCTTCTACATCAATTAAATATTCGCTTAATCATGAAATGAGTGTTGATCCTATCAATATCTCCAGCTCAACATATCAAATTTCTGAATTTGTACATAAGTTATAATCTAGAAAATATACTTCCAAATCGAACTCTACTATTACCTGTACCATACGCTTCTAATTTACTTCCTCTCAATAACGACGTTAAATCAATTCAACTACACCTAATATTCGTAATAAACTCAAACAACTCGAACATCTTTATTGCAATGATATTTTCGTGGCAATTATTTCCGAAACTTTTCTTCAATCTCATGATTGATTTTCAATTCGATTAGATTCCATCGTAACTCCAACACTATCTAACTAGTTTTCACTCTCCTATGCTTCTAGTTATGTAAACAGTGATCCCATTGGAGCTTGTAACTGCATCATTCACATCTAACCTTAGTTCCCTAACCTTCTACAGCCTTCTTAATGATATTCTAGGCGCCTCTCATTGTTTAATTGAAAACGGTCCCTAACTTCTCATATTATCAAGTTCCAAAATATATCATATCCTCTTCGCTTAACAACATTGTCCGTAACATATCAAACACCATCCAACTCAATGACTCACCTTTAGACTTACTGTAAATAAATGTGAAAGGTCTCCTTCTAGAATAAATTTCAAAATCCTAGCTGGTGTTGGAATAGAATACGCATATACTATCAGAGTGGAAAAACATAAGGGTTGGAAAAAATGTTGTAAAAATGTTAATAGCAAAATGTCAGTTTCAGATCTTTGGCGTACAGGGAGAATTTTTAAAGAACCTCCTCTCAATGCTCTACATCGGCACAACACTTTAACGAACTTTGTGGTACGCTCGCTGGACCTTATGGTCCAGTAATGCCGTCTGTGCCATGTGATGAGCAACGCGATAATTTCTTTTTAAATGACATTTCCCTCTCTGAACTCAATAAAGCAATTAGTCTCTCTAAAGACACATAGCCAAGCTTAGATGGCATTCATAATAGTAAACTCAAGGTGCTATCTCGAATTCCTACTCACCAAAACCTTGGTGGAACGAGCTGCTCACTTCACAATTCCGTAGATTACAGGCTGCTAAACAAAAATTTTCCAAATACCCCAATATTTCTAATTTTGAAGATTTCAAGTTATCACAAAAAGAATGGAAGAAATCGATTAGAAAAGCCAAAAGATGCCAACGAGCCCTCGTTATCGAAGAGCTATGCTCAAATAGCAATACAAAGCCATTCTGGAAATTTTTAAATGGTCATCGCATCACAAAAAAGAAATACAAACACCCCATTTGGGATGATCTCAACAACAAATCCTACCTTGAATGGCTGAAAGCTCAAGTTCCCTCGACATGTGGTCTCCAAACCTCCTTACTTAACTCTCGGATGGAAAACATCTCTCCATTCTCCCTTGATGAACTCATGCACGTCCTTAATGACCTGGCGCTGGATGACCAACTCGTTTCCCACCGTTTGGCGCACAATTAAAATAGTGCCCATTCCTAAACCCGGAAAAGATCTTGAAATATTCACTAACTTCAGACCCATATCCCTCTTGCCTGTTCTTCTTAAAATTACCAACCAAATGATTAAAGAGACTAACAAAATTCCTGAATCACTCACACCTTCTCCCGTCAAGGTCCTTTGCTTACCAAAAAAATATCTCCACCGGTATGTGCCTTAATGAAGTCCTTTTCACAATTGCAAATGAAAAAGTAAATGGAAACCAGGTAGTCATGCTTTGCTTAGACATTAATAAAGCTTACGACTGTGTAAACTTAGCGAAACTGGACCAAATTCTATCTGATTTTAAAATCCCGACACAAAGTAGGCATTGGGTTCTCAACTTTCTTTCCTCGAGAACTCTCGTATTAGATTCATATACAGTCGCAGTTTGTGGAGGCTTACCTCAAGGTAGCTGTCTCAGCCCAGTTCTCTTCAATTTTTACACAGCCGGTTTACATCAATTACAGGACAATTCTACCCATTTATTTCAATATGCTGACGATGTCCTCATTATCTCTGCTGGAAAATCATTAATGGAACCAGTCCGTAACCTCGACACTAAAGCCAATCTTTTTCACAAACTTTGTGCAGACTTAAATCTAACTTTCAACCCGGAAAAATCAAAAGTCATTCGCTTTGCTAAGGGTCCCAAAAAAATTTTTTACATTACAATCAATGGTATAAAAATCAGTCCGTCTTCCTCTTTTAAATTTTTGGGCAGAATAATCAACTCAAGTTTAACCACGCATGAGCATTACAAGGATAGCCTCGAAAATTGCAACACAGGCTCAAATGTCATCAAACTTCTGAACAACATTCACACCGGACTCCCACCTAGGAAAGCATTAAACGTTTACAAATCTATTGTTAGATCCAAAATTGAATATCCCTACTCTACATCGTGTAACGCTCCTGCGTATACATTAAAAAAAATACAAACCTTTCAACACTCAATCCTAAGACGTTGTACCGGTTTGTCCCCCTCAACACCAACATCAATTTTACGTTCCATCTCTTATGAACTCCCCGTTGCTAAGAGAATTTATCTTGTAACTGCAAAAGAACTTCTCAAGGTAAAAATCTTCAAACCTGCCTTCTTTGGCGAGGTCGCTTCCAGACACAATCATGTCATCAGTAGTTACTCTAACTGCTTCAAAAAATTCAGTAACATCTTCAATAAAGTTAACTCAATACCCTCCTGGAATAATATTATTCATGATAAATGCGTAGTTGAATTAAACTTACTTAATTCAATCACCAACTCAAAAAAAAATCGATCAGGGTCTTGTCTTCGAATCGCTTGTCTGCAAAAACTTAACCACTTCGTCGAAAATAACTTCAAAATATACGCAACGGATGGATGTATCAATTCGGACATCTCTAGTTTTTCAATTATTGAATACCCAAATTTACTTATAGAAAAATTCAAAGTTCTACAAGAACTATCATCCACTTTCATTGAACTTCTGGCCATCAGACAAGCAATCATCCACGCATCTGAAATTAAGCTGAAAAAATTTGTAGTTTTCTCTGACAGCAAATCTGCTCTAATTTTAATCAAGAACAAAGACCCATTCAATAAGTATGTCTTCGATATTTACAACCTTTTAAAAGACGCAAGTATTGAAAAATGCCACATCATCTGGATCCCAGGTAACTGCGGTTTTAGTATCAACGAAAAAGCTGACTTCCATGCTCGTCAAGCTAGGTTCGATGGTACAGTTTTGTCCATAAACTACCCCACCAGCGAAGCTTTTCTGCTAGTCAAAAAACTCATCGTAAAAGAATGGAAAGATGAGTATCATGTTTTAGCTAAAGAAAAAAGTGACCGGCTGTTCTACAAAATTTACCCTTTTTTGACACCCACGGTTTTACCTAAAGTAAAATTCACAACATGGGAATTTAAAGTTCTTCACCGTCTTATGAGTAATCACACCTACGACAAGGTCTATTTTAAAATGATCAAAGTCTCCTCCTTTGACATCTGTGAGGATTGCAATATTACTGAGTCTGCCGAGCACCTTATTTTTGAGTGCAGGAGATTTGACATCCTTAGACAATCTTTCAGTATATTTAACCTGTATAACAATCTATATGAAATTTTTCGTGCTGGTAACTTTAGGCATTTCAAGCAACTGACTGCCTTTATCAAATCAGCTGAGTTTTAATTATAATTTTACATTTAGTATTTCTATTACAATCACGAATCGCCTACACTTTTTCTTTTATCGGCATTATTAGCCGGATCTTGACAGTACAGTACCAAGTACGGTGATTTATGGATTGACAGCCTCCCATTGCGAACACTCTGCCACATCAGTCTACCTATGCTTAAATTTTTTCATCAATCGCTCTCAACTTCGTTTCTGGATTATGGATCTAACATTAACTTAACTGCTCCAATCCATCTCTAAACAAACAAAAAAAAATAAAAATAAACTCAAGGTGTTGAACATTGAAAAAAGACTAACTCTACTCAAGCAATTTAACAACATTCGAATCACCGGTTGAGTACTCCCGTCTTGGTACGTCTTCCAAGATATCACTTTAAGAAAAACGAATAAATTGGCCGATTAATGTTAGCTACTACAGATGTATTGCTTTAGTTTCCACCCTTGTACTTGACGTGACTGCGCAGAACGCTGCCTCTCAATGCATTCTACAAGTGGTTTTTCTTATAAATTTGCGCGGAACACTGCCTCTCAATGATTTCTGACTACTCTTTGCACATAGAAGGCTCTCAGTCAATAATTTAACATATTTTAGGTGAAAATTTTGAATCTTTCAATTTTTTTCATTTAATTATCGATTCTATTCAAATTTCAATAGTTTCTTCTTATATGCAAAAGAAATTTCGAAACTTTTCTCTTTTCGTAATTCTTTTCTTTTTTTTTATTTATGATTAATTTTTAGCTAAGAAAAAAGGACTCATTAGCGGTATCATTCTCATTTCTCAGTCTGTTGTTGAGAAAGTATTGTACTCACGGCTAGTATTGTACTCAGTAATTTTCAGTTTTGTCTCCGGCGTTCTAGATTCATCCAAGACAACATTGTTACTTTTGCTCTCTTCGGCTTCTCTTTTTCTCTATTTTACTCTCTTTAAATATCCCTATCAGATTCTGTAATTTATTACGTGACCTCTTTCTTTATAATAAACATGCTAATTAACAACTATGAGCACACAGGAGATAATTCAAAGTTATTCTACACGGCTTTGTATTAAGTCCTTCTTGTTTTAATATACATAGTAAAAATCATCAAAGACCTTTCAAGAAGAACTTTTGCTTTTCTTTCTACCGTCCAGGTATTTCTAAAATCTCGAAGAAACGTGCCGAAAACCTGTGAACCTTTCAGACTTCGTTCTAGTTCTTCAGGCAGTAATGAGCGGAGTATTGGAGTATCTGCAGCAATAGAAACCAAAGCGGATTTTTAATAATGTGATGCCGGAGTATGGTACTTCCTGGGACTGTCTCATTTCAGTTTGGCACAACTTCCTGGGATTATTTGTCGGTTTGGCACAACTCCCTGTGTTTTTCGATGCATTAAGCAAAGCACGTATGAAGTACGATGATCTAAGCATTTTATTTCTATTCGGTGCTTTTTTTATTACATATACGTGTCTATTTCTCCTGTTTTGTTTTTCGTTTTCAGTAAACGTGATGAAGAACTAAGTATACGTCCACAGGAACTGCAATTACAACATTGACATACGCAACTAAATGAAGAATTGAATTTACGTTTATCGTGCAATAGTAAGTGGCTTTAAGAATTTTAAAAGAAATGTCATTTTAGAACACTAAGATAAATTATTTATAGAACTGGATAAAAGTTCAGCTGGTGTGGCGGCAGAAGGTGCTATCCTTAATGAAATATTAGAAATCGTAGAGTTCAAAATGCTGGCAGCGCATTGTTGTTTTCAATTGCATGCTTGTATGGTATGCCAAATGAAATTTTTTAGCGTGGACGCCTTAACACAAACCCACGGTACTCTAATAGTAAGTGTGCCAAGCATCAATTTGGAAAAAAATCAAGACAATACTTGCAAAACCAAAACTGATATCAAGTCTGCAGACCAGGAAATTCAAATAGTGCAACACCACGACGTTTTATAACCACCTGAATCAATTTTGAGTAATTGTGATCCCGCTCCTACCAAAAAAGACAATTTTGAACAGAATGGCTCTGCATTATCAACAGTTGAGAAGGTTCTCCAAAAAGTTGCAAAAGAAATCTGGAACATAATGTTGAGCAATTGCAATCACAGCCGACTATAACATCGCTCAAAAACTTTTCCAAAATCGGAAATGCTTCTTTACAATCAACTAAATGCAGCCAAGCGAGGAATCTCAATAAGAAGCAATACCAGAATGAGTTTCTTAAAATTGAATGTTTGGTGCGTTCGAAGAACTTTAGCAACGCGAACAGTTTACTTGCTTTGCTGAACTCAACCAGAAAAATCGAAACTGAGATATCCTTTATAGTATATGAACGTAGCATTATATCCGCTACAGTAGTGAAATCCGAAAATATTGTCAATGGAACTTAAGCAGCATTAGAGCCAGATTTATTAGAAAACATGGAGGAATTTTTACCAATCGCATCTAGGAAAATTTAAAAAGGAAAAATTAGATAATTCATTCGACGCTAAGGGGACTCTCACTCTCTGGAAATTTAAAGAACAAGATTCAAGGATTAAAAACGAAACTATGGATTATTCTACTGATGAAAGCGCTTGTTCTACAATACGAAAAAATAAAAAGCACAAGATTCCCAGAAAGCTTTGAATTTTTTTGCAGATGACACAGGTTTTTCTCCAGGGCGAAGAATTACGAAGCCCAAGCTGACGGGTCTTAGCCGAATGAAACGCGATAGTGAATGTGGTCCTATTTTGAAACGTCCTTATATGAACGGGCCTGGAGCAAGCCATTTGATGGTGTTTCATGTCCCTGGTATTATAAAAATAAAAATAAATTTGATTTGTAATTTTAAAAAAATATTAGTTTTTATTTTTATATATTTGATTGTATAATTTTTTATATTATTTTAACATTTATGTTTTATGCATAATTCATTTAGCTTGCTCATTCACTTCTCCTTTAATTTGCCAGAATTCGAAGTTAGATTGTTTACTTCTGCGTTGTGAATTCATAAACCGTTCCCAAGCGCCTTGTTTTTGAGCTAAATTACTGCGACAAAAAAAAAAGGAAAATTGAGAAAGAATTAAAAAAAAAAATTCCTCCAGTAAGAAAATGTAAAGAATGGATATCTTTGGGGATAAAAACATTAGACGAACCGAGACGGTGAGAGTGCGGGATTATTCGTATGCACCTTATCTAGAGAGAGAGGTAGAATTTGCGTGTCCTTGCCGACTTAGAATCGCGAAAAGAGTGGTACACGGGTTTGAAGCCTCATGAACGACTTTTTTATCATCAAACACTGAGTTCGGTGAGGGCAAGCAAACGTTTTCTACCCACGAATAAAATACCTAAGGATTCGTTAGATTTTCGATTGCAATCCGGTTACATACATACATTAAAACGAAGTGTTTCCGCAAAGAGTCGACACCGTCTTACAAACAGAGACATGCTCGAAAACTCCGCAAACATTTCGTGTCCTCCGCAATACTAAAGATATCTTAATGGACAAGCCGAAATTAATAGGACATCCGCTTAGAATAGGTACGAAAGCTGATTTCAGAAACTTGATTTTCTTTCACAGAATTGATGTTTTCTTTTAGGTGGGATGAGAGAGAAGATATCCTCTCATAACATCAAATTAATAAATAGTGGAACTCATACACAACTTGTTAATAATGGTTATCCTCGCCAAACAGCGGACGGCAACTTTTCTGTTATTATTATTATTATTTTGTAAATTATTTATTTTATATACATAAAATTTGTATTTCTTTAGATTGTCACATATTCTATTAAAAATATTATTTTCGGTTGTATGATCTTTCCAAATGGCTTTGTTGTTGCTTTTCGTCTACATCTAGAGTTTCATCAATTTTGGGTTGTTTTGATTTTTGCTGATCATTGAGTTCATTGCCTCTAATCTGCTACAATATATGTTCCAGGTCCCCAAAAGGCAGTAGGGGTTGTTTGAAATGTAGATAAGGCTTCCTTTCGACTTTTCGGATTCCCTTCAGGATGTAAATCGTCAAAATTCTATTCCCTTTCGCAAGGTTTAATTAGGATTTCCTTTAGCGGGGTATCATTAATCATTCTTTCTTCTTTGACGGAACGCCTCCTATTCCAGCAACGTAAAATATCTCATATGACGGAGGCGGGAATATCCGTTTTTATAGAATTCTTATAAGCATGCGAAAAAGATACTCTATAGGCCGCATACAGTAAACTACTTACGTTAACTACTATCTGCCCTTACTCCTTTCCCAGTTCAGGCAATTAAAACTTGAAAAAAAAAAATAAATAAAATTAGAAGATTGTTTAAGCTTAAATGGATTTTTCTTTTCTTGAAATCCGATAAAAATTTTGATTTCAATCCGCAAGATAATTTTACGTGTCTTTCTTTTTGTTACTGCATTACTTCCTTCTTTTTATATATATATATATTTTTTTCAAGATTATGCCAAAAGGAATCCTAATATATTTAAATATAAATACGTTTTACTCTTTAGATCTTACAAATCATATGATGAAAAACAAAACTGCCGCAAATATATTTTAATAAGTTTAATTATTCTAAAAAAAAGCGGGCATTGTAATTAATTAAGTGCATCTTAAATCGATTAATTATGATGATTTTTCTTCATACTTTACAGCTTTACTTATATGGTATGGTATATGGGAAAGAGTGTTGACAGAGAAGATTTCCACTACGTGGGAGGTAGTACGTCACCTACCGGCTTCATTCGCAAATGGAAACTAAATTACACAGGCCTACGTGACCCGCTGCAACTCATAAAAAAGGTGGAGAACCTATCTGACGCATATGGCATGAGCATATGTCCGACGTTGTAGGCAGCGGTCTCTGGTTTTCAAATATTAACGTCGAAGCTTATTTCTCAAACCAATCAAGCAGCTCCGTATTTTCGGCTGAATGCTTCGTGACTCTGGACGCCACGCGATTGGCAAGAACTTAGTCGCAGGAGAAATTCATGATCGTGTCCGACAGTAAATTTATCTTATTCGCCTTGTAATCGTTTCCCTCAGGTGAAGCTCATACTTATGTGTTAGAAATTATATCTTTTTTTATACATTCCCAAACCTGATGCATTCTGTCATCATTTCTTATGGGTGCCCAGCCATATGGGTATTCCTGGAAATACTACTGCAGATAACATTGCATCTTCCACACCTACATATAGCAATGATTGCGCTCTGATTTCCGTTGGTTTGAGGGCAGTCGACAAAAAACAGGTCAATCTCTTCTTGGCTACAACGCTGGAATAATTCAATTTACGTCGTCATTCCACTCCCTACTTCACTTAACACCTAATTAATTTAACACTTTGGTTTACCAATTGCGATCTCAGACGAAGCATTATTTGCCGATGTTTAATCAGAAGAAATCCAATGATCACCTGTTCAAAATTAACATAATGAGTGTTTTGCAATCTTTTGATCATATGTTATTTGTATGCCCGAATATTGCCGGTTCTTTTCGCCATTCCATACTTCGCAAACTGTCTGCGCGTGGTCTTCACGATCGCAGCGCTCTAGACATTTTACGTTCACACAATTTAGCAACCTACATTGCTATCATCTCCTTTTTTAAAGCCTGTCATCAACACGTATACATATTTACAACCAAATTATAAATCTAGTCTTTCAGGCATCCTCTTACTTTCGCAATCTTCATCAGTTTCATTGGACTCTTACACATACACGTTTTTCAGCACTTCTCACTCTACAAAATTCCCACTACGCGGAATTCAATTGATTCTCACAAGTAAATCTTATACTAATTAATATTAAAAACTAATACAAAGTACATAGGGCAAAATATAATTGCAAAATGTAATGTACACAACCAGCACAGATCCATGTTGCAAGTGAGCCATTGCAAACAGACAAAAGTTTGACAACCGATAACAGTAAACAATACCAGTTAATTTTCGAACAATAGTAAGATGCTAAGATTGCAAGTTAGTTTAAAGATGCCTTAGGCAAATCCCTCGTATTAAGGATAGTTGTTTTGATAGAATTGAAATAAATCGGTGTTGAAAGTAAATAATAGATATTATATAGGTTTCTCCAAATGACTTTTAACGAATTAAACAGCTCATAATTATATTTACATTGACTAAGCGTTATGAAGATAAAATTCCTAGAGTATCAATTAGGGACATTAAGGTTTATTTCACCAAGTAATGTGGGCGAATCGACAATACCATTTAGTAACGTAGTTAAGAAGATAACACCAAGAATGAGTTTACGTTTCTCAAGCAGTGGTAAGAATAACCGAAGCAACCTATTTTCATAAGGAGGCAAAGAGATGATGGTGTCCCAGGCCAAATTCCTAGTGGTAAGCAGCAAGAATTGCTCTTGAACGGATTCAATTGAATCTACATAACACCAGGCAGGCATGCTGAAGTATTAATATAACTAAGCACATGTACAGCCTTTTTGTAATGTAAGAATCCTTAAGCTCTTTGGACCACCTTTAAATGAAACCTATCGGTGAACTAGGTTCACTTTAAGAAAGTTCAATGTTCAAATTAAAACGTCATCTTTTGTCAAATAGAATCCTTAAATCGATGAACAAATCTACGATTTCCCACTGGTATGACTCGATAAAATATTCAATATTAAATGACCTCCTCCTTGAGAAAGAAATCTTTTTGCATTTTTTTAGGTTTAATTTCATAAAATCCAACGAGCACCATGTAATCAACTTATTTAGGTCAATTTGAAACCGTTACAACTGCGATTACAAGGAGAAGCAAGAAAACTGTTTAACATCGTCAGCGTACATTAAGATATAGCTGCATTTAATCACCGAGAGGAGATCGTTGATCTATAGAATATCTGAAAGGGGCCCTAAGTGGCTGCCTTGAAGGAGACTAGACGTCACAGAAAATTCATCCGAGGTAAAACATGAATGATCTGTTATGAGGATGATTAATTAAGTCCAACGCTTCACTAAAATCAGACGTCCGTGCGAGAGCCACTAGAACATGCCTTAAAAACATAGCAAGTAAACTGTGAGAAATTCGCGGCTTCTTTTTTCTTTTTGGGAAAAGGTAAATGCTTAGTAGCAATTCCCTCAAATAATATAAGTTAAGACACTCAACTTGGCAATATCTCTGTAGTTCTCAACGGGATGTCTGCTATCACATTCGTGAAACGGAATAAGGAAACATCTGATTAAAAATTTTTGGAATAACACCACATAGCTCGTCAACGCATGATTTAAGTATACGTGATGAAATGCCATCAGACCCTAGGGCATAACTATATTTTAGAGATCTCAAACCATGTAAAACGTCGTTTTCTGAAATGACCAAGTTAAGAAACGAAACCGACTTTCTGATGAGATACGATCAGATAGTGAACAGCACCATCGGAATCAACAATTGAAAAATGTTGTCACAAGTATTCAAGAACCGTTGCACATATGTCAATTCAGAAACCATCACCAGTGCGATCCAATCGATCCTTTTTGAAAACCTGGAAAGAATCGTGAAAAAGTTCCGACGAATATAAATCAGGCTTTAACCAAGTTTCAGTGAGCGCCAAACAGACAAACTACGCGCCCATTGAATTTAGGAAAGTAGAGCGAATGTTTCAGTTTAAGCGCCTAACATTTGACTCCCTAAAAATTTAAGAAGAAGAGGATCTGTTTATTTTTTCATATAAAATAATACGGCAGCGCGGCTTTTAATCGAGTTGTCACTTGCGACTTGTTAACTCCTAAAACCAGAATGACACAAAGTTGTGTTTAAAACCTCAACCACGCATTTTCTATAAAATATAGAGTTCAGTTTTCTATTAGTAAGTACGTTTAAGTCAGAATAGCTTAACTATGATTTCATCTTATAAATAGCGCAATAAATAGCGTTAAAATAGCAGTTTACGTTAACTAATTGTCTAACTGGGCATTAGTGTGTGAAATATCGTAAGGTTTTAAATAACTTCTTATGCTTTCGCTGATTATATGTTTGATTACATTCTTGTTGATAACAGCTGTTGCAGTTTTTTTGTTTTGAATATATGCGTTGCTAAACTTAAGGATTGACGAAATTAAATTACGAAATATTTTTTATTATAAGTTATTAACCACAAACAAAAGTTTTACTTTGCGAAAATGTTAAGAATATATGAAAAATTAAATAAGTTTTTGAAACCAAATAAGGTTTTTCAAGTTCAGCTGCTTTCGTCCGGTTTAAGACATTCCTCGACACAACAACAACAAGATATAGAACCCGTGGAAAAGCAATCGCCCTCAGAAGGTATAAAGGCCCAATATGATTTTTAGTCTTTAAAAAACACTTTTGATACCTTTTTCAGAATTTCGGCGAAAAAGAGTACGATTTAATATTAAAGCCGAAAATATACAAGGCAGACCTTTATATCTAGACGCTCAAGCCACCACGCCCTTGGTATATTGTCTCAAAATGTAATCAGTTTTTCTAGTAATAAACGTTGTTTGTGTTTAGGATCCGCGGGTCTTGGATGCAATGTTACCTTACTTAACAAATTTTTATGGTAATCCCCATTCGCGCACACATGCGTACGGCTGGGAAAGTGAGCGTGCTGTTGAGAAAGCTCGTGAACAGGTTGCACAACTTATCGGAGCCGATCCCAAAGAAATTATATTTACTTCTGGAGCAACAGAATCCAATAACATAGCCGTTAAAGGTGTAGCCAGGTAATAGTTAAGCTCCTTTGTACCGATATTCATGAATAAAATAAAGAATTCGTGTCCGATTGTTTAGATTTTACGGCACTAAAAAGAAACACGTTATAACTACTCAAACCGAGCACAAGTGTGTTTTAGATTCCTGTCGTGCCCTTGAAAATGAGGGCTTTCGCGTTACTTATTTACCTGTAGAGCCAAATGGTATTATTGATATGCAACAGATGGAAAAAGCTCTCACACCCGATACCACTTTAGTATCCGTGATGACTGTCAACAATGAAATTGGTAAGAAATGCGTCTTAAATTCTGTTTTGTGGTTTATAATATTTTTACGTCGGCAGGTGTTAAACAACCAGTCGCCGAAATCGGTAAGCTTTGCCGTTCAAAGAAAGTATTCTTTCATACAGATGCCGCCCAAGCTGTTGGAAAAATTCCTATTAACGTTAATGATATGAATATTGACCTTATGTCAATTTCGGGCCACAAAATTTATGGTCCAAAAGGCGTGGGGGCTTTGTATGTAAGGCGACGTCCTAGGGTACGTCTTGAGCCTGTACAAAGTGGTGGTGGGCAAGAAAGAGGCTTACGTAGTGGAACTGTGCCAGCCCCTTTAGCTGTAGGCTTGGGTTCCGCAGCCGAATTAGCTCAACAGGAAATGGAATACGATAGCAAATGGATAGATTTTTTATCTAAACGTTTATTGGATCGTCTTACACAAGCGTTACCACAAGTTATACGTAACGGCGATCCGGAGCAGACCTATAATGGTTGCTTAAATCTATCGTTTGCGTACGTAGAAGGCGAATCTCTATTAATGGCTCTCAAAGACGTAGCTTTGTCATCAGGTTCAGCATGTACTTCAGCTTCGTTAGAGCCTTCATACGTACTGCGTGCCATAGGTGCAGATGAGGATTTAGCACACAGTTCTATAAGGTAAGTAGAAGCATTGCTTAAATATTCATCATTCACTAAAGAAAACTATTAGATTTGGTATTGGACGATTTACCACAATCGAGGAAGTTGATTACACTGCTGATAAATGCATAAAACATGTTGAGCGGCTTAGAGAAATGTCTCCTCTCTGGGAAATGGTGCAGGAAGGTATCGATTTAAAGTCCATACAATGGTCTCAACATTAATTCGCAATGTGATTTTTAAACAAAAGACGATTTTCATAAACAGATCGCAATTGTTGTAGTTTTAGTATAGATTGCTAATGTAAAGCTCTAATCTTAATATACATAAAAAATACAATAAATCGGAAAATTACAATGTTTCAAATATTTACACGCAGCTCTGAAAATTTTTCTTAAAAAGACTGCGAATTCCTCATGATTATTCGCAAAGGAATGTTATAAACATAACGGAATAAGTATTTTTCGTATCTATGGTTACTTCGATATATTCTTTAGATTAACACGTTGACCCTCATTTTAAAATCAGTGAGTGCTTTCAAAAACACTTTTGTGTTTCATAGTGTTTAGAAGTTTGGACTGCTGTAACCGTCGTGCGCATCTACAAGCACACTTTGATTTTAGAATGCACACGCAATCGAGGTTAGTGGTATTTCATTGGCGGTAATGAACCGGAAAGAACAATATCTTCCACCTATTCTTCATCTCTTAAGTCTCCTTATACTGCCAAATTAGAGTCAACCATGGCTGTAGTTTCGCTAGTTAGTAGACAGGGACAGAAAGAACGGAAGTTTATACGGCAAAGGGAAAAATACACTTTTTGGGAGGCAATAATCACTGATATTTGTCTAGAAAACCACTAAACATACCATTATAAATAAACATACACAGCATTAAACTTTTCCAGATGTGCCCAATTTTAAATACAGGACATTATAAGGACATGATATATATTTATTTATTTATTTATTTACCCATTTATATATGGAATTCAACTAAAGAAAATTACAGAAAATTACAGTCGAATTCAGTGCATCTTAATAGAAAATCTTATAGTAATTGTTTTAAAACTAGTATACAATACAAAAAGGAAAAAAAGAACAATAATAATAACAAAGTAAGTTTAAAAATAAATTAAAAAGTTAAAAATAATAATTCATGTATAAATAAATAAGAAGACAGAAAAAAAAGAAAAAACGCATGTACACAGCTATCACAGAAGTACACCCGCAACAAGAACAGATCCAGGTTCCAACTGAGCCCCTAATGGGTTGCATATATTCATAAGCTTGGCAACCAACATGTTAACAACACAATATTATATTTGGTAAAAAATGGGATATTAAGAATGAAATGTTACCTTAAACACGACATAGGTAAATCGCGCATATTAAGCAAACTTGCTTTAATAGACTTTAAACAGTCTGATAATGAGAATAAATGATAGACATTATTTAGGTTTCTGCAAACAACTCTGAGCGGGTTAATCAGCTCATAATTACATTTACATTGACTAAGCTTAACCACGATAGTGGTGCCTAAGTGCCTAGAGAGGCATTTAGGGACGTTTCTCAAGTGACGGATAATAGAAGCAATCCATTTTCATAGGGGGGAAGAGAGGCAATTGGGTCCCAAATTTGAAAAAATCTCCGCTTTAAGTCTAGCCTTTTTTTATTTATATATTTATTAATTTCACTTATACAAGAAACTCAACTAAAACAATATGGTAGTCGAGTTCAATTGACTCTCAAAGTAAATCTTAAACTAATTAATAATAAAACTTAGTATAAGTACAATAAAACAAATAAGAAGAAAAAAGAAAAAAAGCATGCACACAACTAGCAAAGAGCCACACCCACAACCGGTACAGGACCAAATTGCAAGTGAACCCCTAAGCCATCGCTAAGATGCATAAGCTTGGCAAACGATAATAGTTAACAACAATTAACTTTCGACGCATAATAACTTTTTAACGTTAAAAGTTAGTTCAAGTATGACATACGTAAATCGCGCGTATTAAGCAATTTTACTTTAATGGACTTTAAAGAGTCCGTTAATGAGAATAAGTGATAGACGTCATTTAGGTTCTTCCATACAACTCTGAGCGAGTTAAACAGTTCGCAATTATATTTGCATTGACTAAGCTTTATCAAGATGAAGTGCCTAGAGAAGCTACTAATTTGATTACGAAGGAAACGCCAAGAACAAATCTACGTTTCTCGAGTGACGGTAAGGATAACAGAAGCAACCTATATTCCTAGGGTGGAAGAGGGGCAATCGGGTCCCAACCCAAATTCCTAACGGCAAACAGCAAGAATTGCTTTTGAACAGATTTAATTGAATCTACGTAGCACCTATATGAAGGAAACCATACAATAGAGGCATACACAAGTATAGGTCTAACCAAACACATGTAAAGCCTTTTCGTAATATAATCAAACTCTCCGGACCACCTCTTTCTAAAACCAAGCGCGGACCTAGGTTTGGTTAACGAGAGCTCAATATGCAAATTGAAACGTAACCTATAATCAAATAGAACGCCTAAACCCATGAACGAATGAACGATTTCCTTTTTGAGAAAGAAAGCTTCTTACATTTACTCAGATTTAGTTTCAGAAGATTCAAAGAGCACCATGCAACAAAATTATCTAAGTCACTTTGAAGTTGAACAGAGAAGGAAGAAAACAGTTTCACATCATCAGCATACATTAAGATCTGGCTGGAATTAACCAACGATGGAAGATCGTTAATGTATAAACTAAATAAAATGGGACCTAAGTGACTTCCTTGAGGTACGCCGGACATAACGGAGATTTCATCCGAGGTGATGAAGTTAAACAAAACCCTGAAGGTTCTATTGTGCAGATAAGAGCTTAACCATTCCACTAAGAAGAAAGGTAAGCCAGAGGCTTGGATTTTAAAGATAAGTAGTCTATGGTTAACCATATCAAAAGCTTTGCTTAAATCAGTGTATATAATATCTGTGCGAGAGACGCACTAGAAAAAGCCTTGGAAACATGACAAGTCAACTCTAACAAGTTGGTGACTGTAGATCGCCTTTTCCGAAAGCCGTGCTGGTGCGGAGAAATATACGAATTAATGGCAAAGGCCAAATGCTCAGTCACAATTCGCTCAAACAACTTAGGCAAGACACTCAGCTTGGCTGTGCCTCTATAGTTCTCAACAAATTGTCTACTTCCACTTTTGTGGATAGAAATAAGGAGACTACTCTCCCAACACGAAGGGAAAACACCTAAATTCAAGGACAGGTTAAAAATGTTTGAGATCACACCACATAACTCGACAGCGCAAGATTTAAGTACACATGATGGAATTCCATCAGGTCCTTGCGCACAACTATATTTTAGAGAACTCAACTCATTAAAAACGTCATCTTCCGAAATAACCAAGTTAGGAATTGAAACCGAGTTAGTTATAGGATATGGGTACTTTGCTGATAAATCGAAATTAGCAATCGAAAAGTTTCGTCGGAAATACTCAGCTAACAGATTTGAGATTTCAAAATCATCCGAGGAATCAGAGCCATTAAAAGAAACATGAGAGGGATATGTGGAAATTTTTCTTTTAGAGTTAAGAAATTTAAAAAAAGCATTTAGGATTAGCAAACAGAGCGGATTTAATGAACTGAGGGTATCTGCAGTAATACTGGCGGTTGAGGGAGTTAAATCTGTGCCTCGCCACCGAGTAAGCGAAATAGGGGCATGATGTGAGGAACGGTTATGGAAATGATTCGATTTAATTAACATGATATCAACGTAGAAAATGCTGTCAAAATATATTAAAAGTTGCGAACTTGTATATTGAACACAACAACAACGCACGGCAGGCAGAAACACGATATAGATCTGTTCGCATAAACTTCATTTATTCTGAATAATGTAGGGCATATAAAGAGAAAAATGTTTTTCGAATTTTCCTACAGTTTCAATGTTTTTTTTTTAGTCTAAGAATTTATTTCATTAGTCTAAAATTATAATAATCATAATATTTTGTTATATTCAGATTGCTGTTTGTATAACCTTTATGGATATTCGATGACCGAATAGTACAGCAATTTATATTGGAAATTTAAAGAAATTGCTTTTATATCACCTGAAGGTCTTCCTTCGCGATCTTGTTCCCTGTATTTGTTTTTCAATGATTTGAAATTTCTGTAAGTAAACTTCTTTCTTTTGATTTCTGACTTCTGCACAAATTTTCTACGTAATGTATATTGCGCCCCTTTATAAAATAAGCGTATATTCGTTCTCATTTGTTTTGCATGTATTGCGCCCCTTTATAAAATAAGCGTATATTCGTTCTCATGTGTTTTGCATGTATTGCGCCCCTTTATAAAATAAGCGTATATTCGTTCTCATTTGTTTTGCATGCATTGCGTCCCTTTATAAAATAAGCGTATATTCGTTCTCATTTGTTTTGCATGTATATCCGTTATTCACGTTGTTAAGTTGCGCGTTTAACATAGCTGATTAGCGTTAACATTTAAGTTGTTAAGTTGGGCTTTTAACCATTTATTTATTATAAGCGACTCTGTGCTTTGCCTTTCAACAGGGAATTTAGCGAGGACTTTGTTTAAAAATTATGACG